TAGAGCATTTTGATGATTTAGAAGATTTAAATTTATTAAAAATGGTAAGAGAAAAAAATTCTGACTTTAATGTTTAAATCTAAGAAAATAATAGTTTAAAAATATATTTTTTAATCCCGAAAGCTTTAAATTTTTTTTTTTTAAAAAGTAATAAATTATTTTTTCTAACAAGAACTCTCTTAACTTGTACAAGGAACGTAACGACAATAAGGCATCATCGGGAGAAGCCACCTCTGTAGAAAACCAACAGTCGATAATGGAAATAGATACTAAAGACTTAAAAATTCGTCCACCAACGCAGTTAATGGGTGATCCAACAACAGTAGGGTTGAGGTCACCACAGCAATTGTTCCAAGACATACCTTCCTTGTTTGCAACACAGTGGAGACATCAACCAGAAGTGTTAATTCGAGGTTCTTGTAATTATAGTGCGCAGGTAGATTTCATTTATTTTTCAATATATATATACATATATATATACACACACACAAAGAATTTCAACAATAATGTTTCTATTTTGATTTTTATTGAATTTATTCAGTACTTAGGATCCACTTTAGTAAAAGAATTGAAAGGAATGGAGTCAACTCTCAGGTCAATACAGAAACTAAAAGCTTCATCTAGAGATATTGGAAAAGTTCCAAACGTTATTCTTTCGATATCGCATTCAGGAGTAAAATTTATAGATGGAAGAACAAAGGTAAAATATTTTCTTGTGAAATTCCTCTTTTAAATTATTTATCAAATTTCTTGTAAATTAAAAATTTCTGTTTAAAATTATAAAGTATTTTCAAGAATTATATTAATTTATCATTTTTAATTTTTAAAGGTATATGTATGAATTAATGTTGTGTACAGTTGAACTTCGATTTAGCGCCTCTGAAATTGCCGCTAAAACTGAAGTACTTCAAACAATAAGAATTATTTAGGCCTATAGCAATGCGGTCAGCATACAAGTTTGAGTTTTAAAGTCACGTAATTTGGTGGTGGTGATAACGTTTGCGTTGCAAAATCCATTGGTAATTTAGATACTGAAAAGTTCTTTGTTTAATATTGTATTTATGGAGATCTGTTTACAGGCGTTTATTGGCGTTGTATCGAGGTTTGGTTGTATCTTAGCAGTTGTAAGAAAGCCCGAATTTTATATGAACTATTGGCCTATTAAAGTATGTGAACTTGTCTAACTCTTGTCACTATGGATGAGTAGACTGTATCAGGGGCGTCGGATGGGAAGTTGGAATTTTTTTATAGGCCCGTATTGACTTTTATCTCTATAAATTAATGCTATTTTTACCAACAAAAAATCTTTAAGACTGCTATTTATTAATTAATAAAGTAATATCATGTTTCATTTGTTCGCTGTACCTTCGAGCCTTATGCCAAGCTCTCAATGGTCCGGATCTGTTTATTTACTTAATAAATAGGTAGGATATACAATATAGTGTGATTTAGACTATTGTTTTTACATTACAGCAATTAGTGTGCGAACACGAAATCAGAAACATCCACTGCGCATGTCAAGATACCGACGATCTTAATCATTTCGCATACATTACCAAGGAGCACCAAACAACAAATCATTACTGCCATGTTTTTCGAGCTCAAAATACGGTAAATTATTTCCTAATACTAGAAATAAATGAATTAATTGTTTTTGTTTATAGTTTTATTTTTATTTTTTTCTCATTAAAGGACGTAGCAACGGAGATTATTTTGACGCTGGGGCAAGCATTCGAAGTGGCTTATCAGTTAGCGCTGAAGGAAAACTCAACTAAAACTGCATCAAAATTCGTCCACTTCTTGAACAAGTCAGACGACCAGAAAATCGAGGAAAAGAAGAAATATGTCAGTCACATCACCGTGCAGCTAGTACAGAAAACCGAAAAGGATGGCGATTCCGAAGATAAACAGTCTTCGTGACTTTTCATGAATTGTTTAGTCTCGATTTTCGATTTTCGCTGAAATTTTGAAAAATAGAAATGGATCGGTAGCTTCGCGCGTCAAAAATAAGAAAAAAAATCAACATAAAAAAAAAGAGCGGATAAAAATATTTATAAATTATTATTATTATTATTTTATTTGTTTTCCCAATTAGTGATTGTTTTACGAGATAAATTTTAATGTTAATTATATTGGAAAGCGTGTTAAAGCTTTCGAATATTTCCATGAAAGTTGAAGCTTCAAGTAAAACGGAATCGAAGTATATATAAAAGTATGCTTTCATATTATATTCCTCAATGTATCAGTGTATTGGTGCTTCGAAATTTCATCACCTTAATTAAAGAACAATTACCTCTTTAAATTGGGGCATTATCCTCGAGAGCACGATTGTTGCAAACGAACATTCCAATGCTCAAAGTACAATTCCAATCTATTCAGAAACGTGTAGTTTTGAATTTTTCCGATAGGATCCACTTTATATACTAATCTATCATGAATGTTAATTATAGTATTTGTTCTACAGAAAAGTACAAGATTATTGCTCATGGTTCCTTTATAAAAATCTGAAAGACATTTTACTAATACCTCAGGTACTAATAACACCAACAATAGTAATTAGTAAAATTTACATTCTCTTTTCATGATTATCGATCAGTTGAAGTCAATAAACAATGATGATTCTTCGAAAATTCCCAATCTCTCTCCAAACAAACTCCCCTTTCAAGTTCTTCAAGAAGAAACAATTCTTGAGGGATCAGTTCTTCAAGAAGAAGCGACAAAAGTTAATGAATTATGTAATGTTGAATACTGCCAAAGTACCTAAAAAATGTTTTTGATTCTAGATAAAAAGTTTTTGAAATTCGTACTTTTATTAGAAATACATAAAAATTCAATATATAATACATAAAAATTCAATATATTTAAATACATAAATAGAATCTTTCTAATATATGAATCATGCATCAAGAAGAAAAAACAAAATGGATGAAAATAATGACATCATGCAGTTTATTTTCTTGTGAAATTCCTCTTTTAAATTATTTATCAAATTTCTTGTAAATTAAAAATTTCTGTTTAAAATTATAAAGTATTTTCAAGAATTATATTAATTTATCATTTTTAATTTTTAAAGGTATATGTATGAATTAATGTTGTGTACAGTTGAACTTCGATTTGGCGCCTCTGAAATTGCCGCTAAAACTGAAGTACTTCAAACAATAAGAATTATTTAGGCCTATAGCAATGCGGTCAGCATACAAGTTTGAGTTTTAAAGTCACGTAATTTGGTGGTGGTGATAACGTTTGCGTTGCAAAATCCATTGGTAATTTAGATACTGAAAAGTTCTTTGTTTAATATTGTATTTATGGAGATCTGTTTACAGGCGTTTATTGGCGTTGTATCGAGGTTTGGTTGTATCTTAGCAGTTGTAAGAAAGCCCGAATTTTATATGAACTATTGGCCTATTAAAGTATGTGAACTTGTCTAACTCTTGTCACTATGGATGAGTAGACTGTATCAGGGGCGTCGGATGGGAAGTTGGAATTTTTTTATAGGCCCGTATTGACTTTTATCTCTATAAATTAATGCTATTTTTACCAACAAAAAATCTTTAAGACTGCTATTTATTAATTAATAAAGTAATATCATGTTTCATTTGTTCGCTGTACCTTCGAGCCTTATGCCAAGCTCTCAATGGTCCGGATCTGTTTATTTACTTAATAAATAGGTAGGATATACAATATAGTGTGATTTAGACTATTGTTTTTACATTACAGCAATTAGTGTGCGAACACGAAATCAGAAACATCCACTGCGCATGTCAAGATACCGACGATCTTAATCATTTCGCATACATTACCAAGGAGCACCAAACAACAAATCATTACTGCCATGTTTTTCGAGCTCAAAATACGGTAAATTATTTCCTAATACTAGAAATAAATGAATTAATTGTTTTTGTTTATAGTTTTATTTTTATTTTTTTCTCATTAAAGGACGTAGCAACGGAGATTATTTTGACGCTGGGGCAAGCATTCGAAGTGGCTTATCAGTTAGCGCTGAAGGAAAACTCAACTAAAACTGCATCAAAATTCGTCCACTTCTTGAACAAGTCAGACGACCAGAAAATCGAGGAAAAGAAGAAATATGTCAGTCACATCACCGTGCAGCTAGTACAGAAAACCGAAAAGGATGGCGATTCCGAAGANAAAATGTTTAATAATTAAAATTTCTATAAATAATGCAAAACCCACTTTTCACGTGTAAATTTTTATGTTTACATCCATAGAAGTGATTCAATTTAAAATAAATCTTTACAATTATTTAAAATATTTATTTTTAAATAATAAATAAAAATAAAATACTAAACTTTAGCATAATTTTATTTAAAATTTGTCATAAATTTAGAATTAAAAGGGGGCCTGTCACGTTATTAACAAACTGGATACAACTTTATTACTATAAATTATTATAAACAGAGAAGAAAATCGAAAAAAAAAATTATGAAAATTAGAATTTTTATTTATTTATTTTAATATTTTATATATATATTTTTTCTATTTAAAAATGTAAATCGTTTTTCTCTATTACCGATGACGTAGATACAGTATTATATTTAATATCGGATGCATTAATTAATTAATTATCTTTTATAAATAATTTATAGTTTTTTTTCTTTCTTTCAAATTAATGATCGACAGCTTTAATTTCAAAACATGTTAAATATTTAAGAGAAATTTCTAACGAATTTTTAGTATAAATTTTTATCACAGATGGCAGCACTAGTCTGTCGTGAAAATACGATGTCAATGGAATATCTCCTCGATAAAATGCTGAGGTAAGGCGTTCATTTGCATATTACAATTCACTTCCAGAAAACTAAGAAAAAATAATAATAATAATAATGCCTTATTTTTAATTTGAAATTATTTTTATGAATATTTTTTAAAAGTTTTTGATTCAAACAAAACCAATTACTCTAGTGCCGTTAAAGAATTCCAATATGGAAGTTCATCTGAAAAACAATATTTAGACAGAATTAAATTAAGTATTTTAAGACATTTTTTTCCTATCGCTAAATCGAGTATTATTCAATTTCAATATTATTCAATATTGTACCTTATTTGTTTAATTAAAATATAAAAGGGTTGCCAAAAAGTCTGTTAACCACTGTAAAGACTAAATTGTTAACCTGCTTAAATAGTTAATAACATTTTTATTGCTTTTTCAACGATTTTGTAAATGAAAAAAACACGTTTTCAACTCATTCATATTCACGAATACACGCAAAATAAGATTTACTGACTTTTGAACCACCCTTTACGTATATATTAACACTTAAGTTTAATGTTTTTGTTAAAGACTAGCAATTAAAAAATTTTCTGATTATAAAAATGTAGAAAATTAATGTTAAATTTATTTTTAAAAAAAATGGTTAAAACTCGAGCGGATTTGTTAAACTAGAGGATTAATTTGTTAGACATACATTAGCGCGATGATAGAAGACCCCAGAGACTATTTAATCTTACATAATCCAAGCATCTACTTCTGAATGCCATGCTCAGAAATTGATGATAATTATCGGGAATATTCGCATTTTTTTAAAATTTCGAATAGAATTCTTAATCGCCAAAATTCTCGAGTGGATTCCTGTAGATCTATTTATTTACTTTAAGGCCTCCAGTGGAATTCTCAAGTGGATGTATAGAATCGTTTCTTCACTTTAAGGCCTTCAATGGTGTTTCTTCTTCAAGAAAGAACAAAAGATAAATGTATTTTGTATACTTTAGAATAATAAAATTCCATAAAAATAGCAACAATTGAGCGAATTACTCATTTATTGTATATAAAAAACACGGTGGAATCCATTGTAAAAGAGGCGCAAATCCGTAAAATATCATGGAAAACTTGGAATTAATTCTGGCAAATCCCGATTTAGTTTTCTTTGTTCGATTGCGTAATTACAAGGCGGATTTTGGAAATAAAACTATTATATTCAAGTTAGGCGTAAGTAATTTCGAATAAATCATTAAAACAATCAAGAACGAATCAATACGGTTGGTGTTGCTAATGCATTAAATAACGCCTTGTTATCGTAACGTTATTAGTTGGCTACAAACAAACTCGAACAGACAAGAACAATTCTCCGTATCCAGTGTAGAAAGCAGTTTAAAATGGAAGTATATATTCAATGGACCATGTTACCTCACCAAACACGACAACCAAAAGAACGTCATTGGCAATGGCTCTACGCTCCGTTGACCAGTACGAGTCTTGGTTTTGTGAAGTCTTTGTGTTCCACTTTTAATCTTTTCTCCGGTGTATATGGCGGCGAAGATTTTTCGGTTGGTTATTAGCAATACCAAGTGGACCGTACAAAACGTCATTAAGTAGTTCCTCTTCAACTAACGATGCACCATACAACTAGCGGTAGTTATCCGGTTAACAGATGAAAGAACAGATTCAATAAGAACCGATCTAATGACCAAAAGGTTCGGTGCAACGGGAACACGAAACCCGATCAAGCGTTTGTTTATTTCTGTCATTGCGATTAAAGCAGCACCGATGGACGAACAATTATTCCCATCGTTTTTTTTTTATTTTTTTTGTTTTCCTTTTGAAATTTTTCTTTATCCAAAAATCCTTGTTTCTAATTTAATTTAAATTATAAATATGAGTTACCGAATGAATTATTTTTCTCTTGTAATTAGACAAAACGGCGGTTTAATTGTATTCTAAATTTACAATGCGCTGCTGTGAATTCCTACACTGAGGTATCCCCCAGCTTAAGCTGAGCGTTATAAAGAAATAATTTGAAGTTTAGGGCCCTCTATAAACAGGGACGAAAACTAATCACACCTAAGGCCTCATATATATAAATTCATCACTGTAAAAGCAAATATTGTTATTCGTTTAGTATGCTGCGCTATGGATTCTTCTGCTGAAGTACCCCGACTTAAGAAACGTTATAAAGAAGTAATTTGAATGTTCCATCTCTGTAGATAGAGTGCCCGAAAGTAATTACATCTAACGCCTCATATATAGGCTATATATATACAAATTCACAACTGAGAATGCTGCTGCTATTATTCGTTTAGAACATTCCGCTGCGAATCACTCCTGAAGTAACGCAGCTTATGAAACATTATAAAGAAGTAAAGAAGTAATTTGAATTTTTCGCTCCAATATATAGAGGGTCGTAACTAATTACGCCTAAGGCCTCGTGCATGTATATATCCACCACTGATAATGTTGTTGCTATTATTTGTAAACCATAAGTTACTCCTCTTGTGTACGCTTCCATTCATAATTTGAATCTCATAGTTGATTCGTATCATATTTCTAGAATTCTAGAATCATTTTTTTTCTCAAGAATCAAGCTAATAAACGATGACTTGATAGTCTTATATCGGGTATAAGCTCTTTATATACTTTTAGCAACTAGCGGATTTCAGCTTAAATGATCATGGTCATCAGTGCGTGTTGAGAGGGTTAGACATTGGCGTGGGAAGGTTCCTTACAGAAGAGCAGCTGGAACCAAGCAGAAGTGATCGAGATTATAGAAATAGACAGTACGCGGTGGGGGTGTATCCTCGTTCTACACAAATACCGACCACACACGGTGACTGACAAGGCCCGTGCCCACAAAACTGAGAAAAACAAGTGGGTTGCTCTTAGTAATTCTAACGGGTTGTAGAGTCTTGGATATAGAATTTTATTTGGAAAATTCTCGTATAACGAGGGATGGTTTGCACTAAAAATAGTCTACAATTCACGAAGACAAATGATAACTTATTTCAATTTTAACGTCGGACAGCAATAAGATGAATGAGGGTCCCTGTTTACAATAACGCAACCAACCGATGTTTGCAAGATTAATACAAACAATTCGGATAATTTATAAAGAAAATCTTAATTATATATTTGACAGCACCCTATAAACTTTAGCTAAGAGCTCAATAGTTTTAGCGCTTAACATTACTGGATGTTTATTAATTTTCAGATGAAAATGATAAACATCGCATAATTATGTTTAGTATAACTCCTCTAACAAACTATTCTTAGGTCTTACTATTAATATTTATCAATTTGAATGCGCTTAAAGGACAAAATAAGAATTTCCGTTACGATAAAAATAAATTAATATGTCACTTTTTAAGAAAAATTATAAAAGTATTTTATTCCAAAATTTAACTCTTATTTTTATGTAGTACATTACAAGAGCCGCATAAAATTTATTTATTCTTAATTAAATTAAATCGATTTTATAGCTTATAGATTGATTGTGGGGAGAAGGTTACATTTTAAATTTAATACATTCAAACCTGCGAACGACGGACACTGAAAAAAACAAAAGTGGAAGTTGTTTGAAGGCTATTTTGTACGCGATACGTAAAAAAACCTTTCTAAAAAATGGATGCTATTTAGAGGTGTCCGTTGTTGGAGGTGCGACTGTATTAAAAAAACAAATTAATTTAATAAAGCTTAATTACTGAAGGCTTAAAGATGTTTAAAATTTTATCTATTTATAAAATAAATTCAAATTTAAATAATTAAATTTGAAATTTTTATTACGATAATTGCTAAAGAACGACTTGAATATAAATTCGCGGAATAAATATATTTATTTTTTTTTAATTTAGAAAAATCTATAAAAAGTAAATAATTTAATTTTTTCTGGAATAATTTATAACGTTTAAAATTGAATAATTTAATAATATAATTCGAAAAAATCGCTTATAAAATATTTAAAAATGCAAATAAAGCAGGAAATAAATTAAATTTTTTAAATATTTTAATTTATTAAATTAATTAAATAAATATACAGAAAAATTTATAAGGCGTAACATTTTATAAACACAATTACATTTTTTAAATTTAATTTTTTATTGAATTTAAAAAAATAATAATAAATTGCCGGAGACAAAATGGCGAGGGAGTGGAAAATAAAGTAAGCCTATAGAAAATAAAATTGTAATTATGTAAATTAATTTGATTTCAAATTAATTNTCATTGCTGGATTTTTTAAAAACCTAATCCATATTTAGATATTAGACACGTTAGAAAAAACAGAAAACTCCCGGTTGGTCAGATATGAACCCAAGACCATGAACGGTTTTGTCAGCGGCCATATCTTTTTTCAATGGTAGTAATAATATTTTAAAATTTCTTTCGACCGAAATGGCCATATCACCAAGTTGTCATTCATTCGTGTTTTGGCCTTAAG